TAATCATAATGCTTCAAGTAGGAAAAGAAAATTTCTGATGTATAATTATCAAACACTTCTAACCAGCTCTGATTAGTTACTAAATTGCATGTTGTGGGATGATTCCCCTTAAAAAGGGAAAGCATTGTTCTTCTTATCTTACCAAAAGATTACCCTGTCATGTTTTAAGATAAAAAGCACAAACAATCTCTTCAATCTTCACGATTTACATTAAGAGAAATATAAACAGGAATTGCAGAAGTACACATTTTCTCTTTTGAACGTATGTAATTATAGCCTTAAAGAATTACACAAGCAAAAGTGATGGCAAACATATTTAAATAGCGTCCCACTTTAAGGGATCTCATTGCACAATTACCTTATGAACAGGCACATAAATACATTTTCAAACCTGGGCGAACTGTAATACACGAAGACCGGAGATAAGTAACAGCAGGCATGCCGTTGGCTTCCTGCTCCATTGATTTTTATTCCCATCTTTCCACTGATCACTATACACATTCACACACCACACATGCATACAAACACACCACATAACACATTTATACCATGTACATAAGCTTGAATATGTATCTATATGTATTTCTACTGACACATATGCGTGACATTCTGAACATATCTTACTATGACATGTCTTGGTAAATGTGACTATTGTTTGCTTTATCTCAGGATTCACTTATGAAGGGATTCGGAGTTTTGAAGATTTAGTAGGTAACAAGGGGAAGCTGAGGCAGAACTTTTATAATCCAAAGTAAGTGGTCAAAGTCAGCTGTTCATAATTTATTCTTATACTTCCCAGCAATGTAGATCTGGCAGATTAATTCCCCCTTTCCACAGATGGGAAATCGGGGCCTAGAATAGTTAACTCACAAGCTCAGAATTTTAATGCTAAAATGACTATTTTTTTTTTTACAGTATGTTCAGAATTTAATTCTAGTTCTAACAACTCATGTGTTTCAATGGAATCTTAATTCAGTATTTCCACATAAGAATATTTCTTACATATTGAACTCCTTATTCAATCAATTCTAATGTAAAGGTTGATTTTTTAATACCGATGAGTGCACTAACAACTCTAATTTCACAGTCTTGTGCTATTTTTTAGCTATCACAAGTATGATTGACTTCCTATGTAATTATATATGCTGGACTAATGATTTATTCACACTTGTAATCTCGAATAGATATTCTTTGAAGAGCTATTTTTACACGAGTCCTTGCTTGTTGAAAAATTTTAGGCATTAGAAGTGTTAATTATATATAGAACTAATATAATTCTAGATAGATTAAAAAAGTATGTTCATTTAAAATTACCGTGTGGACATGTATTACTCTATCTTCCCCAGCACTCTTCTTTCTTCTGGATAAAGCAGCCCCTTCTTTTAGATGGTGAACACATAAGGTGGTTGAATGAAAACTGCCATCTCTCTTTGGTCATAACTTCTCTACCTACTGTAATTTGTGTAAAAGTAGGAACTGACCTTGGCTATGATAATAATAGCACATTGGCTCCTAGCCACAAAGACTGACCTGAGACCGGGGGGTGGGACTAAGAGCGGGCTTGGCTGTATGCTAAGCCACTTCTTCTCTCAAGAGTTTTAACTGAATTGAAGGTGGAAGGGAATAGCTCTCTCCTTCCTAGTAGCAAAGCTGGGCACTTGTGAGCCAGGAGCTACTAGCAGACATTAATCTAGCCCAGGACTTCTCAACCTCAGCAATGACATTTGAGGTTAAAAAATTCTTTGTAGTTGGAAGCTCTACTGTGCCGTCTTACCTCTATCCACTCGATACCAGTATCACCCTCCTCCCCAAGTGTGACAACAAAAAATAGCTCTAGGCTCTGCTAATTGTCACTTGGGGACACACTGCCCCAGCTGAGAACCACAGAACTAGCTTCATGTTAAGGCAGCAATAGGAGAAAGTGAGGCCAACCATTCAAGAGAAGTAGGGAATAGACAGAAAGAAAAATATGTCTGTTCAGGACCAGTCATGCCCAAATATATCCTTTTCTTTTTGATTATGTAAACTGTTCAATTCCTTTTATTTTTTTTTAAAGTAGTTTGATTTGTTCTTTTGTCAAGTGCAATAATAAGAATCCTGAAACAAAGCATGGTCTCTCAACAAATAGTGCAGGGACAACTGGACACCTACATGCAAAAGAATAAAAGTGGGCCTTTTCTTCGCACCATACACAAAATTTAAATCAAAATGCACTAAAGCACTAAAACTCTCAGAAGAAAACAGGAATTAATCTTCCTAACCCCATACTTAGCAATGAATATGATACCAAAAGCATGAGCAACCCAAGAAAAAATAGATACTTTAGACTTCATCAAAATGAAAAACTTCTGCGCTTTAAATGGCATAATCAAGAAAGTGAAAATCATAATTCGAGAGATTTGTATATTAAATACATAAAGAACTCTTACAACTCAATAATAAAAGCACACAAAACCCGAATTTAAAAGTGGGAAAAATATGTGAATAGACATTTGTCCAAAAATACGTATATAAATGGCCATTAAGCACATGAAAATACGCATCAGGGAAATACAAATCAAAAACAATGAGATGTCACTTCATACCCACTAGGGCAGTTATAATAAAAAAATCAGAGAGTAACAAGTATTGGTGAGTATGTGGAGAAATTAGCACCCTTATCTACTGCTGGAGGGAATGTAAGATGGTGCAGCCACTTTGGAAAACAATCTGGCAGCTCCTCAAATGGCTAAACAGAGCTATAATATAACCCAGCAATCCCACTTTCAGGTACAGGCCAAAGATAAATGAAAATATATGTCCACCCAAAATCCTGTATATCAATATTCATAGCAGCATTATTCATAATAGCCAAAGTTGGAAACAACCTAAATGTCCATAAGTGAAAGGATAAACATAATAGATGAACAAAATGTGGTATAACCACACAATGGAGTATTTTTAGCCATAAAAATAACGAAGTATTGACAAATACTACATTGATGAATCTAAGTGAAGGAAGCCAGTCACAAAAGATCACATATGATAATACTAATATGAAATATCCAGAATAGGCAAATCTATAGAGACAGAAAGAAGATTCCGTAGGCCCCGGGAGATGGGGGTTGAGGGCTAAGACAGTGACAGTTAAAAGGGATGAGGAGTCTTAAAAGGGATGGGGATTCTTTTTGAAGTGATGAAAAAGTAAAAGCAAAGTAAATAATTATAAACAAGAAAATTGCTGCATAAATTGCTGTAGATTCATTTCATGATATACTGCGCTGTCATGTAAACAGTAGAGCTATTTTTTACTTTAAAGGTTTTCCAGAAGATATTGTTAAGTGAGGAAAGAGGCAAAATAGCATGTATAGTATGATGTCATTTTTAGATCAAAGATAAAAGCTATGTGTGTATAAGTATGTACAGTATATTATGAGAATGGAAAAGTGTAAGGAAGGGTACATGTTAAGGAAGTTAACATGGGTTACCTGTGCAGCTATGCATGGTATGTATTTGGGAGAGCAGTCATGTGGATGGAAAAGGAGAGGGATGAGGAAAGGCTTACAGTGCACTAAAGCGGAGGGGAGGGGAAAGGTATTGCACTTTAAAACAAAGCACATTTCATATGATCCCATTGAATCACTTAATGATCTGATTAACTATCATTTCTCTGCCAGGTTTTCTAAGTTTACTGTATCATTTAACAACCTGTGGGTTAGAGTCTATTATCTCCATTACCTTCAGATGGGGAAACTGAAGTTCAGAAGGCTTAAAGAGCTTGCAAAACAATACTGCTGGGGCAATTTTGATAAACAGGAAGGACTCCCACCTAAAATTTGTTTTGGATGTCAAGACTCATGATGCCACAAACACACCAAGAGGATATGAAAAGGTTTATCACTTACATCATGAGGCTTTCGGGGGAGAGCAAGGCTGGCCTCTCGGACTGATTCAAAAATGGTTTGAGGCAATTGGAAAAGGAGACCAGCTAAGGTTTTTATGGTAGTTAGCAGGTAGATTCCCATCTGTAGGGAGAGGCTTGCATGTGTTTGAACTTTATTCCAGTCAGTGCCAAAGGAGGGAGCACTTGGGCTTTCAAAGCAGCTTGTCCAGGAGATGTGGGGCAGAAGAGGAAGAGAGAGGGGTGGGACCTACAAGCTATCAGCAGCCAAATGTCAAAAAATGGAGCAAGACTTTTTATTACAGATGGTTTAAAAATTTTATTTGCCAATATTTAAGAAAAATGTTTAGTTTTATATTTATAGCTGTGTGTGTATAAGTGAATCTCTTGTTTTAGTTAAAACAATGTAAATGTCTAGTTTTGTGACACTTAATTGACAATACCCAAAATATAAAGTCATATGTGTAAGACAGCATGCATGACCAAATACCTCAAATTTCACAGTCCTGAGAAATATCTACTTCCAAAAATGAGCGAAAATTAAATAATCAACACATTTAGCTTTTTTATATGGTTATAAAATTAATAGAAAAAATCTGTATGATCAGTATTACTAGAATGTAAGCTCTGAAAGTATCTTTTTCATCACTACAGAACATAAGCACCTACATCTGTGCCTTGCATGGGATAGACAATGAATGAATGGGGAAATACACTTGATAAACACTGTACATCTTAACAAATAAAAGCTAGGTATGAGTTGAAAGAATATGCAAAACTTTTACAAAGCCCAAATATATCTACTAGTGGGAATATAATTATATAAGGATTTCTAACTAATAACTCAAATAATAATTTAAATCTTGGAAACTTTTTAATTGTGGAAAACAATTACTTATAAAAAATCAATTTTTGAACAGTTATCATCTATTTTAATAATGTCAAATAATTTTTGGTTGTTACTTTGAATTCCTAATATTAAACTGAATAGTATTCAGAGGAAATGATCATGAAATAAAATTGAATGCACAGTATACTTGTTAACACATGCTGCACTCAATTTAGAATGTTTAAGAGGCTTGAGTTACTAGGAGGCAAGGAATACACTGCAGCCAGCCACTTCATACTAAACTTTTTATTAAAACAGTCCTTACAACATATTTAAAATGGCATGTTCCACAGTCAAATATTTAAGAAAAAAAATCTATATGCAATTATTGGCACACAAATTTAAGAACATAATTAAAACCAAGCCAGATCTCTCTCTGTATTTCTATATCTATATACATATAGATATATATCCATACAGATAGATATATTTTCAAATTCATGTCAGTGACCTGGAATACCTGAGGTTTCAAGTTGTTGGTTTTCCAGATAGTACAAAACATTTTTCATCCACTTTATAAGGGACATGGCAGATCCAGAAAGAATAACTTTGGTTAATAAATGCTGTCTCCCAAAGATCAAACAGAAGTCCTCAATGGGATTAAGGTTTATCTTCAGAGGTTTCTTCCAAGTGGAGGTTGGTCTGTGATGTAAGGAATGATTCCCACGTAGCAAGGCACTGAATAATGGAAACACACCATGAGGCAATCAATAACGGTTTACTTTCAGCGTTAAAGGATTAATAAATTCTAACACATCTGTTCCTATTGCAATCTGTTCTATTCTTCTCTCCTATCATCTTGTCAGAATCCTTGTCATTTTCTACATATTTTAATTCTTAATGAGGGATGCTACTGTGAAGTAAGGGGAAAACATATTAAAGGTTAAAAAGATTAGCAAGGATTAGTTTGCTGAAATAGTCTACTATTACCCCATATCAAGAGAAAAGTAAGAGCTCCACGTTATAGAGAAAAAGATGGAGCCAGTTGGAGCTGAGGAGGAGTGATGATACAAACACACTTCAGTCTGATTTGAATCCCATTACACCAAGTGTGAATTTGAGAAAGTTGATTAACCTTTATTAGAGTTTCTTCAGCTACAAATTAGGTTAATGATAGTACTTACCACTAGCACAACTGTGAGAATTAAATTTATATAATCTGTATAAATCTCTACGCAGAATACATAACATAAAGTGAATGCTCAAAAAGTTAGCAACTGTTAAGATGGTCTGTCGAGAATGGGTGGAAAGACTTAAGTTATTAATGTGCCACAGGAAATGACACAGGATTGTAAGGGTCTGAAGGCGTTCAGAACACATAAACATAAATGTGGCCTATTTGATTTTGCCTGAGGATGACCTTCCTAACAGACCAGTCTCAAGTATCTGTATGAAGTTTATCTACAGCATAATTTTAACAGTCTGAACGCACTTAGGATTCTTCTAAATCATACCTACTCTAATGTATATTCAGCCTGAGCTATAATGAATTTGGAAAGAAATTATGTTTTGTTTTTTTTTTTCAAACGTGGATAGACGGCCATAGACATGTATGTTTCTACATAATACACTCCAAAGTTGGACTGATTAACACTGGTCCACCTGGCTCAACTACCTCCATGTCACTTCTTCTGCCTCTAATCCTTTCACAGCTTTAATGTGTCCATATCAGACAACCAGTGCTAATAACAGACTAGAGATTTTTCAAACACTGTAAAAACTCAAACATTTAAAGCTCTCAAATTATAAGTGTGTTGCATTTCAAAAAGTATGTATTCATATAATTATGTATGTGTATGTGTATGTGTGTGCGTATGCACAAACACATTTTTTTCAAACTGAAGATTTAGAATATGGGAAATACTATGTCAGTTCAGATTTTCATAAAGATTACATACTATGATTTAACTCTGAGATAGGCTCCAATAACTTAGGAAGTTAATAATAAGCTAAAAGATTTGTATAATTACAGGATAACAGTAAAACATTGAATGACCTAATTGTCAAATAAAAAAGACACTGGGTAAAATTTACCCAATAAATTACTGGGTTAAATAGTGGGTATTTATTTTGTAATATATTTTGAAGGCCAGACTTGGGGTAATGTAGGCCTCATTAAAGTAATCAAGTTTATCAAGACTTTAAGGGATACTTTTTCTTTAAATAGCTTTAGAAGGTACTGAAAGTCAAGTACAATCCAAGAAGCACAGTAACTGTAATGAATCGATTCTGGGATTTGCTTTTATCCTCCGGTAAGTTACTAACTTTACAATATTCTAGTTCCTCAGATATATAATAATAATAGCCTCTCTCATAGGGATGGAGAAATAACAAAATAAAATAGGAAGAGGAGGGGAGGGGAGGGAGGGGAGTAGAGGAATCAGGGTCAGGTAGTTACTACAGGAACCACCTAGTAAGAGTGGCCTCCTCTTAGACGGTACAGGAGAATAATTTAGATATCTTTAAGTACATCTAAATGCCTATACTAATGAAAAGGCATAAAAGATGAATACTTCACATTTAATATATTTTTCAAATTTTGGACTGTAAGTAATTTACAATTGTCCAAACTACACATGATTTGGGGGGCATGGAGGGTAGACATACAAAAATCTCTTCACTCAACAAATATTTTGGAGTTCTTACTATATGCCAGGCACTGTGACGGTACTAGCGCACAGCTTACAAACCAATAGAAATTAGGATTTAGCATGAAACTCAAGTAAGCAAATATAATCAACTATAGGATCTGTGATGTTACAGGACATGATAGGAGTAACAGTAATAGGATCTAAGATTGGAGTGTCCTAATGTTTCCTAGTGGAAGCAATCACTGAATGCAGACTAAAAGATGAGCAAAAGGTAGACCCCATAAATCTCGGCATGTTTGTGAAAGGTCAGTGTGAGGAAGTATAGCGTAGTGATCAAGAACTCAGGTTCAGGACTTCTGTTGCTGACCCAGAGGGTGTAACAGGGACTGGAAAGGCTCTTTTGCCTAAATCAATCAACCAGGTAGATACTATATATATAAAGCAATGGTTTTCAACACCCTGGAAATCAGGCAACAAAGGATAGTGGCCCCTAAGGAGAAAAACAAACAAACAAACAAACAAAACCAGAGTAAACTCCATGATTACCCCAGTGTTATGGACTGAAGCCCTAATTCTAGTACCTAAGAAAGTGACTGTATCTGGAGATAAGGCCTTTAAAGAAGTAATTAAGGTAAAATAAGGTCATATGGGTGAGCCCTAATCCAATATGACTGGTGTCCTTGTAAGAAGAGGAAATCTGGACACAGAGAGGAAACCAGAAATGTGAGCAAGGAGGAAGAATCATCTGAGGACACAGCAGGAAGGTGGGCATCTGTAAGCCAAGGAGAGGGACCTTAGAAGAAAGCAGCCTGCTGACACCTTCATCTTAGACTTCTAGCCTCTAGAATTGTGAGGAAACAAATTTCTGTTGTTTAAGCCACCTAGTCTTCGGAATTTTGTTATGGCATCTGTATTGGGCTGTTCTTGCATTGCTATAAATAAATACCCGAGACTGGGTAATTTATAAAGAAAAGAGGTTTAATTGCCTCACGGTTCTGCAGGCTGTATGGGAAGCTGGTGCCAGCATCTGCTCAGATTCTAGGGAGGCCTCAGGAAGTTCACAATCATGGCGGAAGGTGAGGTGGAAGTAGGCATGTCACATGGCGAATGCAGGAGTGGTGGGGGCAGTGCTACACACTTTTAAACAACCAGATCTCATGTGAACTCAGAGCAAGGGCTCACTTATCACCAAAGGGATGGCCCAAGCCATACATAAGGGATCCAACACTATGATCCAAATACCTTCCACCAGCCCCAACTCCAACACTACGGATGACATTTCAACATGAGATTTGGGCAGGGATGAATATCTAAACTATATTAGCATCCCTCTAATATACCAGCTTGTTGCCTTAACAGAATTTCCAGGCCATGGTGAAGGGAGACATTACCTGGCTGACTCACTGAGTTAAAAGGATAGAGCTAAGAGTTAGAGAAAATGCAGCTAGAGTTCAAAGACCAGAGTAACAGAGAAGAGAGTGGTGTATAGAGACAAAACTCTGGAGATGTGCGGAGGATGCACCACACCAAGCAGAGTACTGATTGGCACATGCACGTGAGAAGACTACGAGACACAGGGAAAAAAAGCCATCGGGAAGGATTAAACAGTATCCAGCATTCTCATAAGGCCTACAATAGTACAAGATCCCATCAAGCAGACTGCAAAATCACTTAATTCATTATCTGCAAAATTTATCACTGTCAGAACACACTATAAGAAATGTTTAAAAAAAAAAAAAAGCTTATCTGGTAGAAAAAAAAGAGACCAGATAGAAATATGGATCTATAAATAAGTGACATAGTAACTACATGAGTACATATGATATATACTTTATTATTTAAATGTATTAAAATATATGAATTAAAAAAAGGAAAATCTTACAGGGCTTGTAATACATGTAGAGGTAAAATGCATGACAAAAACAGCATAAAGGTCAGGTGGAAGGGAATGAAAAAACACATTTGTAGGTTCTTATATAGGCAATATAATACTACCTGAAGGTAGACTATGAAAAATTTAAGATACATACAGTAACCTAAAAATAACCACTAAAATAATAAAAGAGTTATACCTAATACAAAAGAGTTATATCTAATACACCACAAAGAGATGTAAAATGAAATCATGTAAAATTGTCTATCAATTCAAAAGAAGGCAAAAGAAGAAAATGGGAACAATGTACAGACAGGACAAATGAAAAACAGCAAGATAAAAGACTCAAATATACCAATAATCTACTCAAATGTCTATATGCTAAACATACCATTAAAAGATGCAGATTGCCAATCGAATTACAAAAAAGACCTACCTATACTTTGTTTAAATTTCTTATAAATATTTTAAATATAAGGACAAATATAGTTAAAATTAAAAGGATTAAGAAATACATATATGGCCAGGCACGGTGGTTCATGCCTGTAATCCCAGCAGTTTGGGTAGTCGAGGTGGGAGGATCGCTTGAGCCCAGGAGTTTGAGATAAGCCTGGGCAACACAGTGAGATCCTGGGTTTATTTCTTTTAATTAAATATATATATATATATGTGTGTATATATATGTGTGTATATATACATATATACATATATGTGTTTTATTGTAACACATGTCAAAAGAAAAGCTAGCATGGCTACACTAGTATCAGAAATGTAGATTTCAGAGCAAAGATCATTATCAGAGATATCATTTCATAATGATAAAAGGGCCAATACATCTAGAGGACATAATTTAAAATGTTTACACACATAAAAGAGTTTCATAAAAACTGACAGAAATACAAGGAGAAAGACAAATCTACAAGCATAATTGATTTTGATACCCCTCTCAAGAACTGACAGAATGTGTGGACAGAAAATCAGCACTCATATAGAAGATCTGAACCACACTATCAATCAAGTTGACCTAACTGAGATCTACAGGACAAAAGCAGAATACATATTTTCTTTCACGTGCCCATAAACCATCTACCAATATAGATCACATTCTGGCCATACAAGAAGTCTCAATAAATTTTAAAAGATTCAAGTCATATAAAGCATGTTCTTTGAACATAATGGAATTAAACTAGAAATCAGTAACAGAAAGATATCTT